ATATTAAAAATTCTTAAAAACCTTTGAAGATTTTCGAAGATTTCTCTGGAAATTTTCGAAAATTTTTTTTGAGTGGAGATCTCCGGAGATCTCCATCAAAAAAATTTCCTGATGATATTGATATATTTTTTGAATTGCCAGGCTACTTTCCAAAATATATAATAGTATTGATAATATAGATTCTTGATAGCTGGTAATGTATGGTGATAGTGATTGATTGGTGGTAATATTAGTGGTGATTTTGTTATTGTTTATGTGATGGTTAATTAAATAATGTATAGGTTGATTGATATGAGCCACTCCCAGGCTACTGTTGATATGAGCCATTCCCAGGCTGTTGTTTAAAAAGAGCAAAAATATTGAAATGGTTTTTGGATAATTGTTTGGGCTTGTTGATTGTTGTTTTATAATAGTAATATATTGTTGTTGATTTTTGATTGATATTTGGTAGAATGTGATTGTTGTTTTGATGTTTATTAATAGTAAAAGGTCATGTGGTTGTACGGATTTCCATTTTTGAAGTTGTTTATATTGATTTTTGATAAATTTGATAGACGTGTTTTGATATTTTGTAAAATATGATTGGTTGGAACTAGAGTGTAGATCAGTTACCAGGGGTAAGCTGATTACAGTTTTTTGATAAAAAGTTTTTTAAAAAAGATTTTTGGATTTTTTGTGACACAGTATAGTATCTTGGATGATATTGAAAGTTATGTATTGTATATATTGCTGGTTTCCCAAGCTAACAATATATGCAATTTTAATATAAAGTTTTGTGTTTTGTATTAAAAGAAGGTCCTCTGACAAAAGAAAAGAAGTGTTTAAAAGTATTTATATATTAATAAGAAGTGTTTTAATAAGAAGTAAAAATGGGAAAAGCCCCAAGGAAGATTTATAAAGAAATAACTGCTACGAGCCTTTCCTCATACAATTAAAGAAGAGAGCAAGATCCCCAAACTTGCTTCTTTCTAACCAGAGGTCTCATCTCGATGCATCAGTATATTTCTTTGATTTCCTTGAGGCTTTTGTAGTAAAAACTAGAAAAATATAGAGGACTTGTAGGTATTGGGAAGTGAAAGGAATATTTTTTTCTTTAATTTTTAAAAAGTTACTATAAAAGGAAATTTTTAAGAAAAATGTTGTGTACAGGAAAGAGTTTTTTTTTTAATTATATATTATTTTTTAAATATATATATTTTTAATAAAAATTATAAAAAAAACCTATTATAATTTAATTTATTATTAAAAAAGGTTCTTTTAATTTAATTAAAATTTAAAGTTTTTTATAATTACTAATATATTTATTTATTTCTTATTATTTATAATCAATTAAGTTATTTAATTTTTATCAAAATAAATAATTTAAAAATATTTATATTTTTAGAAAAGTATTTTTTGAAATTTAATATTTAAAATTTTTTATTATTAATTTTTTCTTTCAAGTTAAATTTTTTTAATTATTTTTAAAAGAAATATTATTGTTTTAATTTATTATTAAACTGAAATATAACTTGAATTCAAATTACTTTTTTAAACAAAAATTAATTATATTATTTATTTATTTATTTTTTAAGTACAAAGGTGTCAGTAACATATAATCTTTATTGAATAATTTATATGATTATAAGATTTATTTAAGTTAACCTGTTTTCTATCTATAGTTTTATTCAATTATATAAGTTTATTATTATAAAGATAGACTTATACATCTGGAAGAGATTCTTAAAAGATAGAAATATTATTACTAACTTATAAACTATTTAATCTAATCTAAAAACTGATAGTTGTCATTAAGAGTATATATCTTTTAGTATTAATTAAAATATTCAAATAACTTGTTCAATATTTTTTACTTGAGATTTTAAAGAAGATATTGTACTTGTTATCACCACTTGCAACTTCTGTTTGTACAATGAATCATTCAATCTTCTTTTAAATAAGAATTAAATTAGAATAGCCTCAAGCTAAGTGTTTTTTTGTATTATGGAATTTGCTGTACTAAGAGATTTGTGAACTTTTATAAAAATTAGACCAGAAGCCTTTCCTTGTATAACCTTTCTTGCTTTGACCTGTTTTCAGCTCGTGATTGTTAAAAAGATCAGAGGTTCCATTTTCATATAGTTTAACTAGATTTGGTCAAAATTTGGATGTTTGAATACTTTATATATAAGAAAACCAATAAACTTGCATACAAATGAATTTTATATTTGCCTTCTATAGGTATTAAACTAGAAATATGTATTTGAAAACTTGTTAACATTACTTATGGTGCTATTGATTCACAGGTCTAAATTAATTACATTATTAATTTTAATTTTATATAATTAAATAATCTATAATATTGATTAATTATAATCTGTGAATCCATAATGCAATAGTTAATACTTCACAGGTCAGATCACAAGATAGCAGTTTAATTCTAGGTAAAAGCAATTGAATAGTTTCACATAGTATCTGACATTATAACATATTATATACTGTTTCTCATATGAAACCATTTCATATGTTAATTCAGTAGGCATTGAGATTGTGTTTTTCAGAAAAGATGTCGTGGCATGTTGATTGTCTGGTTAATGTTATGATAATCAATACTATATTTGATACATTTCTCAGTTTCCTTCAGGTTATTTTTTTCTCTTATAATCCACAAAGATTATAAAAGAAAGTTTGTTAAACCGATTAGGCAACTTTGAAGATGATTACTCTATGGGTATAATGGACTGGAAAAAACTTAGGTCACTTTACAGAAGTTATACCTTGCTTGATATTTATACTTCTAGATTTGACAGTCTAAGCCAACTAAAGAGCCTATGGAATGTCTACTGGAAGATTTAAGAGTCGCATCCTACTTGACCAGCAATCGAGCCTCCAGATTTGGTAGTGTGTGTCAACCATAGAACTAACTCTTGAAGCATTTACTAGAAAATGTAAAGAAGTAAACTCTTGAGACCAGAAAGAATAGATTATAGGAGGTGAAAGTGAAAATGATAAGGACCCTAGTGATGGTTAATAGATATACATGTTGCTGAAATTTGTAGATCCTTGACGCAATTAACACAATTATTTGATACAATTAATTATGTCACTATTAAATATGGTTCTGAAAATTGGAATTGAATAGAATCAAACAGAATTACATGAGGTTCGGAACACTATTAAAAATGATGATAGGGTATACTCCACCTATTAAATTTAATATAAACTTGAGAATCAAATACAGAATCAAAAAGAATCATTAAAATCCTTACTATTAAAACATATAAATAATTAAGTCATAATACAATTATTTTAAGGATTTTGGAAATTAAGTCAATAACAAATAATTTATACCGCATGTATATTAATGGATAAGAAAAACAACTCTTTGTATAGTTCATGTCTAGGTTTGAACCCACCCCCAAGGTATAAGTTGATACCTGGATTAGAATAAGAACAAGATTATCAATTAACTAGTGATAATTAAGACTGTTCATATAATAGTAACTTGTAAATTATATGATTTATGAAATAAAATCTGTGCATGTATTGTATCCTAGATCTTAAAAAAAAAAAAAATATTGATTAATTATCCTTTAAAAGATTCAATATAATTAAAAATTCAAATTCCAAAATATTTATATTTTAAAAAAAATAAACAAAAATCAATATATAAATATATAAGCTAAATAAAAAAGTTTTTTTTCTTTAAATTCTTAAATCTTTTGTAAATTTTTGAAAATATTTTTTTTGTTAATATTTTTTTATAAAAATAGTTTTGTCATAGATTTTTAAATAAATTTTTCATATTTAATTATAAAATCAATGTAAAGAATTACGTATGTACAGTAAATCTTATATTAATAACACCATGTGATATCAAAATACTGTATATTAACAAATCAAAGATCAAAATCAATTTTATTATGGAAGAAACAAATTTTGCTGTCGATACGGAACAGGGTTTTAAACTTCAAGGAACCTTGTATTTAAAAGATAATGCGCCCAGTGATGATATCGTCATATTTTGTCATGGTCTTATGAACACGAGAAATTCCGAGGTTAATCAATCCATTATTAAGGAGATAGATTTCAATTCTATCTCTTTTGATTTTCAGGGTAACGGAGAGAGTGAAGGGACGACAAGATGCGGAAATCACATTGAAGAAGTTGAAAATATCCGTTGTATTGTCTGCTACGTGAGATCCATTTTAAAGCGAAAAGTCCTTTGCATTTGTGGACACAGCAAAGGTGCAGTTGTGGTGCTTTTATATGCGTCGAAATACAATGATGTTCCATTAGTCATCAATATTTCTGGCAGATATGATCATACACAAATTCCATCATATCTCACGTCCGAACAGTTTTTGCAAAGGTTCGGGCCAATTAACGATCAGGATTATGAAGAATTTAAGCAATTGAACACGTCTGTTGTAAAAAATATTGATCGGCAAAAGTCGAAGGTTCTGACTGTCCATGGTTCCAAAGACAATGTCTGTCCTCCGGAAGGAGCTTTAACGTACCACAAGTTAATTGGTCCAGAACCTCATCACAAATTGGTGATGATTCAAGATGCAGACCATGGATATAAGAATAAAAAGAACGAATTGACGGCGAATATAAGATCGTGGCTTTCTGAGAATTTTTCGTGGGCTTCTAAAATCAACTAATATTAAACTACTATTGAATAAATTTTATTTCTAGTTGAACACAAATCACTGAATTTAATCATTATGTCATTTGTGACAGGACAAAGATTTAATTTACAACTGCAACTATAAAAAATGAAATGCGGCAGGGGTTTATGACATGCCAAGTTTTTCATCTTTTAAACAGATTGAAATCTAAATCAATCAAATTAAGCTTGTAAAATTTTTATGGTCTGTTTTTTTATTTACTTTTCTTATTCTTTCCTTTCTCTTTAGTCAAAGTGGCTTTCTTCTTCTCTTCTTCTTCCATCTTTAATAGTTCTTCTTCAGCTTTTTTCCTTTCTTTTTCCATCCTAGCCTTTTCCTTTCTTTCATTTTCAACCCCTTCAACCCTTTCCCTTTCCTCCCTTCTTTTAAACTCTTTTTCTTCTCTTTCTCTCAATTCCTTCATTTGATCGTTAATTTTCTTATGTTTTTCATGTTGTACCATCTCATTAGCAGTACTAAATATCGTCTGACCCCAATTCTCTTTAAAAGTGTCTGCTTCAGCCGTAACCTCCATGATGTCATTTTGAATCTCTTGTTCGGCTTCCAAAAATGAAGACCATAGATCATCGCCTACAGCACCCTTTTGCACCAATGTGAGAAGAGCAGGCCTATCTTCCCGTAATTTTAAAACCCTTTCAACGTCGGTCATCGCACGACGTAACAAAGCGGCTTTGAGTTGAAGTTCGGTGGCAGCCGGCGAGTCTTGTTGCAAGAGGGAGAGATATATGTCTCTTGTGGTATGTTCAGGAAACCATGGCATGGAGGTCGCTGTAGCTTAAATTGTAAAATGTAAAATAGAAACAAAATTCAGGTTAACAGAAATGATAGATCCATATGCACTAATCTACGCCTTTACCCCGAAAAGAAAAGTGAAAAGGCGAAATCGCCATTTTGAAAAATAATTACTGTGTAATAATAAATTTAAAAAATACCAGCTTTTCGCCTTCGCCATATGTAAGAAAAGGTGCTCATCACCATTAGCATACAGCCCACATAAGCCGTAGTAATCATCCACGAAGACATGAATATTATTATTGTTGTTCGAATTAGATTATATTAAACGAATGAGAAGTTTGAGGTTGTTAGCTAAGCCCAGGTTTGAAGTAGAGCATTACGATTTAGATGATTTTTGACTGAACATCATTGATTTTCGTCACAAATCTTGTCATGTTATTATTCGCTCACAAAAATGTGACACGTGAGAATAATTTTTCCGGTGATGTTATATATGTTAGAATGTACATAAACCTACATTTTCCACAATAATTTCGTACACCATGGAAAACCAATACCTTCAATTTCAACGGGTTGTTAGGCTCTGGAGCAAGGAAGGAAACTCCGAAAAAAGCAAAGCATTCTTCTCTCCTAGTTACTTTTTTCCAAGGCACGCCAATATCGAATTCTATATTGGTAAATTAAATGCAGAGCGTATCAACAGTGGTGACGCCATTGCATTCTCAATAAAATCAATCTGTTTCGCAGTGTCAATATTACTCTGATAATTTATCCTCATGTTACAATTAAATCATTAAGGTACCAACAAGACGGATGGCTACCGTTACTTATTAATATCTGAGGACTCGATGAAAGTCATTAAAGCAGAATTGGAATTATATATATCAATTAAAATTAGTTCAACTCCTACCGATTACAATGCAACATCGTATGAGGACATCAAACCCATTATTATTGATTCGCAAGAAGCGTATGAAAAAATTGAAATGAGTCTATTGAAATTCAAGAAATCAGTTAAAAAGAAGGCTAAGGCTGCCCGAGCTAATGCCAAACTCAAGAGTATCAGGGATTCGTTGGAGAAAGCGCGAGAAATGTATCAAGAGAATAAATATCTATTCGTGGCCATAGATGTTGAAAGTTATGAAAGAGATCATTCTTGTATTTTGGAAGTTGGTTGGAGCATGTATAATGCAAAATCCAACTTGTTCATGGATCGACACTTTTGTGCAACGGAATATGAGCACATGAGGAATGGTCGGTTTGTTCCGGATATGAAGGAACGGTTTATTTTCGGGGAGACAATATGGACGAATTTAAAATCAATTGCTGATGAATTTGTGAAAGATCTAACGGAGGAAGGTGTCAAGGGAAACGTTGTCTTGGTTGGGCACGATATCAAGATGGAAGAAAAATATTTAGAAAATATGGGGGTAGAAATCCAGAAAGTTATTAAGCCTGTGGGAAGATTTGATACCGCTGAGATGAATGCGGCGAGACTTGGGAATCCTCATGAACGGATGGCTCTTGGAAAGATATTAGATAGTCTAGACATTGAAAATTACAGCCTGCATAATGCTGGTAAGTCACACCATGATTACTGTTTTTTTCTTTCTTCCTTCCCTTCTATTAAAAATATGTCCTTCTCTTCGAAAAGGAAATGACGCACGTTACACTTTGTTATTATTCCTTGAACTGTGCAAGTTTCCGCTTGCATCCCTAAAAGAATTCCCTCAAACTAGTGATTCAGATGAAGAAGAAAGTTAATTGTAATTGCGAAAAACCTTAACTCAAGAACATGAACTGGTCCGTAATATCAATTAGGAGTTTCCCAATAAACATTAACTATTATCAACCAAGGTCAAACATTAATATGTTAAAGGAGACTATTCATTCTAATCCTAAGCTCTGCAGAAAAGCTTCAGAACATCGGGATACTTGTTGAAAGTTTCTTTCAAATGATTCATTGCCACCATAATATGGATCTTCGAAAGAGTGTTATTAATTACAATGTTCTTTAATTAAAAAAAAAAAAATCATTGAATAGAACATTCTAAAACTTACCTCTAATAATTCTTTCGCCAAGCGGATCATAATCACCGAACAATTTTACTAATTTTGCGAAAAAACAGATGAGAAAAAGTGTTAAATTTTCGTAAGAATTCATACTATACTATACCGATGGCTATCGATCCTGGAATCCTGGACTTCATTTCCTGCAAGTTTTCTAGATTGGAATTATCCATGCATAGCATATAGTCGAAGGTGCAAAAATCTTCTTCCACCACCTATGAATAGTATAAGAATTCGAAAATTGCCCAAGCAAATAACATTTTCCAAAGTTTACTGCTAACCTCTCTCGCAATATGATTTATGGGTACACCATGCCTCTGGCACGCCTGAATTGTTCGTCTGTCTGGATTTTCACCTAAATCATATGTTTAAATTAATGAATCAGAAAAACATCTGCGCAATATCCTGTAAATTCGTAACCCTACCGACATGATATCCAGCAGTTCCAGCGCTATCAATGATGAACCTGTTTTGAAGATTACTGGCGGTCACTTTATGTGAAAAAACCGCCTCGGCCATTGGGCTTCAGTATTTGAATGGTCAGAATAGATGCTATTAAGTCAATAATAACGGATTCAACATAGCATACCTTCTACAAATGTTGCCTGTAAAATGAAATTAAAATAGAACAAAATTATAAACTAGCCGATCAATTTTTAAATACCTAGACAAACGAACAAGACACTGATCTGATTTGACATTGGATCTTTATGGATCAGGAGCCGAATAACGAATTTTTATATACACCAGGAATGATCAGCATAATACTCGTGGATTATTACTCCTTTATGGTAGTGATTTCCACTATATATAATATTAATACATACAGAAGGGTTTATTAACTCAAATTATGTCATTTGGTTGTCGAAATTTTTTTTCGGGTGAAAGGTGCATATACACATGTTTTTATTTAATGATTTATATCCAATACAGTTACATATTTAGGTCCATTGAAGTTATCCTGCCTATTTACCTATAGACTTTATCAACATATGACCAGAAGTAAGCTTGTACACTAGTAAAGATCTTTAATAAATAGAAATCTTATTACTAATTTTAAACCATCTAACTTAATCTAGATCTTGTCTTGACTGTACTATCATAAGATCATATTTGGTTGTCAAATTTAATTCAAATTTATTAATAAAATATATGTCAGATTTTTATGTTTAATCTAATTTATATTATTTAACATTTAAAAAATAAATAGGAATTAATAACTTTTAATTATAACAATTTAATAAAATTCTAATAACAATAAAATAATTATTATAAATTATTCAATAAAAATTATTTAGCATTATATAATTTGATAAAATTAAAAAAATTTTAATTCATAAAAATTTAATTTATTGTTTTTTTTTAATATTAAATAAAACTTGTCTTATCATTTTTATTAAAAAAGTAATTTATAATAATTATTTTTTTTCTTCAAATTAGGTTGCATATTATTTATATTTATTAATTCTATACAAAGATACTTATATACACTTGTCCAAATTAGATTATTCAGCTGCTGAATTACAACCAATTAAATTCAAATTTATTAATAGAAGTTTATATCAAAGTTTTGTTATTTGATTCAATTTATACCATTTAGCATTATAATAATTTGACAAAAAAAAATATAATATTTAACAAAAAATAATTATTTGGCAATCAAAACATTTAACAATAAAATTATTTGGCAATAAAATTATTTAACAAAAAAAAATTCAACAAAAAATTATAATATTTTGTAATAAAAATTATAGTATTTGAAATAAATTTTTAATCTAACTATAAAGTTGACAAAATTATTTAGCATTATATACTTCAGTAAAATCAAATTATATATTTTTAATAAAAAAATT